GAAGGTCCAAGGCCCTGTGGAACCCAGTGGAAAACAGTGCTCTTTGGGGCTGGAACCTGGTAAGAGATTCAGTCCCACCCCAGTGGAGTTTCAACCGTAAGTACCGAAAGGATCCAGAACAGGCAGTTCTAGATGGAACCATTCTGCTGCCCACACTGACTTTGTAATGCAATACCCCCCACTCCTGCGGTCTGCCGCTTGGAGAGGTTCCTCTGCCCGCAGCCAGATGCGCTCTGCACATCAGCCTGCTTAACGAGCCAAGCTCCTCTCTGCCTCTAGAGGTAAAGGCCAGTATCCATGTGCCACTGGTACACTTACTCTCCAGTTTCAGGAAGTTCTGTGTGTGTGCGTAAATATGTAATTAATATTAATGGTACATCATATACCTGTGAGCTATCATACAACCCGAGAATCTTCCTCACTTGCTGCCTGCCTTTTATTCTCAAACTGGTTTTGGGGGTTAAGCCTTTCCTTCTCTTTCCAGGCTAGGAATATCTCTTGTTTCTCTAAATCAAGAGAATTCCAGTGGATCTTGAAGTAGGGCTCTTAAAAGTTCATTTTCCCATCCAGTGTTTAACTTCCTGTCCCAGAGCCCAGTACAGGATTGGGCTCACAGTTGCCACTCAGTAAATGTTTGGAAACTTCATCAGGAGGTTGGTTACAAGGCTGCCTGGGGCCTGCCCCAGTCAAAGGCAGTGGCAGGTCCTTGGCTCTGCTTCCGTGACCACGCCAGAGCTACGAGGACCCTCCTCCTCATCCAGTAAACATACGTACACGACGGTAAGCTCCACCAGTACAGTTTGGAATTCCCCGCTTTCCAGGGCAGCCCCTGAGCCAAAAACTCAAGGTCAAGTGGTTTATTTCAGAGGTGATCCCAGGAGGCGCCACCAGGGGTTTGGGGAAGTAAGATGGAAGGGAAAGCACCAGGACTGGCAGTGTTCATGAGCAGCTGAGTCATGTTTCCAATGGGAACCTGTGGGACAAGGTGGAGACCACGGCCCAGCGGTGTCCCCACTGAGGGGTACATTCCACCAGCTCCCATCTGTGAACTGAGGGCTCCTCCTATAGACGTCGGTCCTCACACTGCCGGCTCCTGGGCTGCGCGCGCTGCTGCTGCCCGAGAAAGCCCTGAGGCAGAGTGGAAGGAGCCGGCACTGAGAAGCTGGTGAGCCAGGGGAGGATGAGTCCTGGGGGAAAGGGGACAAGCAGGACACTGACAGCCACGGTTACAGCTCGACTCCTGGGGCCCGTCGCAGTGCCCGGCATGCAATTGCTGGTGCTCAAAAACAATGTTGCACAAACAAGTGCATTTATTCTATTGATCTTTATAAAACTTTTTACTATTTTTTAAAGGAAGATACTTTCTTCAAAGGAAATCTTATGAGAAAAGTTTAGAAGGTAAAGGAGATTAAAGAGGAGTCGCCTGACTGAAGGACCGAAGCCCTGTCGCCTCCCCGCACTGTACACAGGCAGACGTGAGGAACAGCCAGGGGCCTCGGAGTGAGAGGTAGAAAGTCCCGATTTAATTCATTCCCCTTGTTTTATACACGGGATCATGAAGGTGCTGTGCCTCTGGTGACACCATGAGTTAGTGCTGGAAGCCAAAGGCCACCAAGGAGAGTTGGTCACAGGGCGTGGACACCCCTCTGAGCACGAGCCCAGTCTCAGCAGGAGCCTCCGCTGGAAGCCCCTGGAACGCCCTGGCTCAGGGGTGGATGTGCGGCCTGCAAGGCAGGCGGCGGGGTGGGGTGGGGGCAAAGGGAGCCATCTGTTGCAATGTCGTGATGCCCCCACGGTCTCCAAGAACACAAGTGATTAACTTTGCTGTCCTTCACATCCCATCACTCCAGGGCCGCATGTTAGCAGCCAAGAGGGATGTCAGCACCTCCCATTGTCACCATGACTGCGTCTACTCTCCACAGCTGCCAGAAGGGCTGTCATCTTGGACAGGCAGACTCTGCACCGCACGTGGAACCGGGTCCCCTCTTCCCCGGGAAGGCGTGCCGGACATCCCGAGGGGGCGGGCGAGAGAAAAAGTCCCGAAGAACTTAAAAACACATGTTTGTGCTAGAAATCCAAGTTTGAGGCCACTAAACTGGAGTGAACTCAGTTTGGACAGAGAAAAAGACTGACATGTAGAAGGAAATATTTCATTAACTTTCAGGAGCTGTTGGATTTCCCGTGGCCGAGTTTGGATCCACACGGCCACCTCTCTGAGTCTCGGTCTCTTGCAGCCGACACTGAAAACCTGGGCTCAGCCGTCTTCCCCTTTCCAGTCCCGCCATCAGCCTGAAAACCAGGGGAGGCAGCCAAGATCACCTGCCAGTTTACCAACGCAAGAGGGAAATCCCTCTTCCTCAGTCTCTCTGGAGCACCTGGGCCTTCCCTCTGCTGACCACAAAGAGAAAAGAACTAACAAAGAATGGTCTCGTGTGAGCCCCAGAGGAAAACAGCGCCCCGCCTCAGCCTCCTCTCCGAAGAGGAACACTCACCAGGTCACTCCAGCCGGGCGGTGCACCCGGAGTCCTCATTTCCGCGGATGGACGTCTGAGGCCCGGAATGGGGTAAGTGACTTGACTGAAACTTCAGTTATTCCATAGAACACCTACAGTTGAAGTTATAATTTTTCCTCATTCCTGGTCCAGTGCCTTTTTTTAAGACTAATTTTAAGTAAAATCAATCTTTTTTTCTTTTTGTTCTACTTTTTCTTTTCTTTTTGATTTTTATTTGTGTATTTGTTTATTTATTTAATGTTTAGCTCTGTGTCTGGCACACAAACTCTTGTCCAATATCTGTTGAATGGAAGGACTGTATGCGTATATGAATGAATCTCCCCTCTGAGGGAAAGCTTCGGACTTCTTTTTATGACCTTCAGAGGACTCCTAAATGGTACAAACATACGCTTCTCGGATGAACCACGTTCTCGGTAGAAGCTGAGGTTTCCAGATGGAGGGCAATGCACTGGAGTTCACGACTAGCGGTGATGGAGAGTGAGCAACATTGGGTGGCGCCCCCTTGGGGGTTCTTGGATCCCTTTCAGTGGCCCAAGGCAGGGGCAGTTCACCCAGAGCTTGCCTTGTGGCAACGCTGAAATCGTTTCCAGTCCTAAAACGCTATAATCCACTACACCAATTCACTAACAATTAGGATATCTATACAGCTGGATATGATCACATGTACACCCTCCTAACACTTAATCACACTTAACCTGTGATTGCGGGGGGAGTTATTTTGATCCAAAACAGCCACAGTTGTTTCCCCCTACGAGAGAAGTCTCCAGACGTTAGCCTCTCCTTGCAGCCCAGCTTGTCTTGCTTTGGCTTTACCTACGTGTCATTAGCGCTAGAGTATTGAAGCACTAGAGCAAGCCACAGGCTTTATCTTTGTTTGTGTAAGTTTTGCTATTTTCTTTTCCATAAAACAGGCTCGCTGTAAACACAGTTCTTTTCCAACAACACAGACACTGACAATGAAGAAAATAAAAATCACTATCGACATTTTTATGAGCATCCTCCCTCTCACATCTCTGACTCTGTCGTCCGCCATGTTGACCCCATTCACCCTGGTGTTTCCTGTCCACACACTGCAGAACGTTGGAGCACGCATTTGGAGCGTGTTGGGCTGAGTCTTCATTTAATTCTCACAACCTCCCCACACTGTGACAATCACTATCCCCGTTTCATAGGTTGAAAACTGAAGCTCTGAGAAGCTGTGACCTGCCCCAGAGCACACAGCACCTAAGTGACAGAGTTGGGTTTCAAATCCTGGTTTACCTTATTCCAAAGATCAAGTCTAAAATATATGACATTTTTTATATTTTTACTATGTGCCAGACACTGTGCTAAGTGCCTTATATATTAACTGAGACCCTTACAGACAGTTGATAAAGTAGCTTTTATTCTGTTGTTGGGAAATATAAAGCATAGAGGGGCAGAGTGACTGCCCCAGACTCGCACAGCTGGTAAAAGGCAGAGCCAAAAAGCAAAGTCAGGATTTCTGACTCCTCGGTCCATGCTCTTGCCAGGAAACTGCATGGTGCCTCCATTCCCCTGGCTGAGGCAGATTTACGCAGATGTGGAGACATACTCTACACACTGTTCTGTAACTTGTCTGCTTTTCGCATAGGTAAAGGTAGTGGGGTTTCAGTGCTTGCCTTTGAATTTGAAATGACATGACACAGTCCTGATCCCTTTGGCCAATACTTGGCCCTGACCTACCTGGTGTCCCCCGCTACTTCATCACAGCCCACACGCTGACCACCCATCTCAACCTCTGGCTCTCTGTCACTCCTCAAATCCGCATGGTGGTCTCGCCTTCAGGTTGTCTGTTTATTCCCACCTCTGGAACCCGGTGCTGCGTACAGACCCTCTGACCCAGACCTCGGTTTCCCACAAACCCTTGCCCCCAGGGTTGGCCACTCGGCCTGCTCCTCTGCAGGCCATCCAGCCTGCCCCTCACCCCCAGGCCATCCAGCCTGCCCCTCGGCACTCGAACTCTCACCACAAGTCCGTGTCCTGCAAGCACTTGCCACCTGCCCAAGATTGGCTCTGGCTGACTAAACAAGCCAGCAACAGAGACTCTACCCAATAACCACCAAATGCCCTGTAGCTGAAAAACAGCACCCAGTGTTGCCACCTGCACTTAGATAAGGAGATGAGAGTTTCTTCGTAAATATGCACAGACCACACTCTCTGAGGTTGACTGATGTCTGTTGCTCTGCATTAAGTAATCTCCCTGAGTGACTTTGAGCAAGTCACTTTAGCTCTCTTGCCATTAGTTTCTCTAGCTGTCAAAAAAAAAAAAAAAAAAAACCAAACCAGGTATAAATAGATGGCCCCAGGCTTTGGCAAACTCTGGAATTCTATTATCCTATGATTAAAGAAATAACAAGCCTGGCAGATATTACTCCCATCAGTGTTTTTGTCCAATCATTTACCAAACTAATGAGGCCGTTTAGGCAATCCAACTGCAAAGTTCACTTTCGGGGACAAGGGGAGGAATCAGGGCAGTTGGACATTCCGGGACATCGCTGGGGGCCAGACGTTAAGTTGATGGTAGAGTGCTGTCAACAGAGAAAGGAAATCGGGGGGATCCTCACGGAAATGGGGTGCATCTTAGAATGAGGGAGCACTTTCGGTGAGTAGAAAACTTATCTGGCTGAAGCCAAGATAAAATCTACTTTTTGAAAATGTTTGTTGTCTTTTAAGTTTGGCTCAATCACTTGTTTTGCTCTGTTCCTTATGTAATCTTGTGGGATGCGGTGTCAAAAGTCATAAATCATTCATGGTGCTCCAAAAGAAATTACTTTTGCAAAGCAGATGCAACTTAAAATGAAATGGGAGAAGTTTTTGAACCAAACACAAAGAAAAATATAACTCACATGGTTCATAACCCACATGGATCGCTAATTCCCATAATCACTCTGTGGCTCGGTTTTTTTTCTGGCTTCTCGATGTGCTTTGTTTTAAGTGGAGACTGAGTTAGCCCTGGCCAGTGTGGCTCAGTTGGTTTGATTCCAGTCAGGGCACATACATATACATGTTGTGGGTTCGATCCCCAGTCAGGGCACATAGGAGAAGGCAACCAACTGAAATTTCTCTCTCTCTCTCTCTCTCTCTCTCTCTCTCTCTCTCCCCCCACCCAATAAAACTTAATTTTAAAAAATGTCCTCAAGTTAGGATTAAATAAGTAAATAAATGGAGACTGAATTAAAGATGTAGCCTGTCACAACTGTACTGCGTTTTTTGAGGAGTCTTAGAAAAGAGGCTATACTTACGGCATTTGCACGGACAGCCGAAGCTGGCGGATTTTATTTCCTGCTTCAAGAAACCAAGAAAGCCCCCTCTTTGTCCAAAATCCCCTTTTCAGTATGCCCATCATTCTGTCCACAATTCCACAGGCTAGTTAAATTCCCTTTGTAAATGTACTCTTCCCCAGAACCCACATACAAAAAAATAAAAAACAAGTAGCCCCCAACAGAGGGAACCCATAAAGCTAACTCCTGAATACTAATGCCTTAAATAAATTCAGTTAGCTTTATAAATTCTAATGTGGCAGCTAGCTGTGATGAGGTTTCTAATAAACAAGAAAATTATGGGTTTCTAGAAATCTTTCATATTCATGAACTCGTTGGTGCTTCACAGAAGTAGCAAGCACAGGTATATGTTCATTGATTAATTCATCCCTACCACAGATTTTACTGACTGTCAAGCACTGTGCTGGGGCACTAAGGTTCAGACAATATGAAGCTCCTTGCCCTTGAGCCCCTCACGGTGTATAGGGAACCTCTGACCAGAGTCAAGTTCTTTTCCACTGAGAGCAGAACAACAGCCACAAGTGGAAGTAGCACGGAAGTGGGCTTCAGCTTTGTGTAAGGAAGAACATCTCAGCTGTTAAGGTTCCCCAGTTAGAAAAGCGAGGGAGTCCACATTGCCAGATTGTTTCAGAAGAGTCTGAAGAACTAACTCTCAGAGTTTCTGTAGGAGACATTTCTACATTGCACAGGCTACAAAGTTACCCAAGATAGATAGATAGATAGATAGATAGATAGATAGATAGATAGATAGATAGATAGATAGATATCCACCTAGTTCTAAGTCCCAAAGTCCCTCAATACTCAATCATGATTCATTCATTTACCCAACAAGCAGCTAATGACTGGTGCTGACTTGGGGACCCTCTGGCTGGGTTTAAATCTCAACTCTGCCACTTTCTGCCTGTGAGACTTTGGACAACTGAGCTTCTCCCTATCTCAGTTGCCTCATCTATAGGACGGGAACAATGATCGTTTCTGCTCACGGAGTTGCTGTGAAGGTGAAAGAAGGTTTGGAACAGCGCCTGGCACATAACACGCAGTCAGCTACTGTCAGACGCTGGTAGCAATAGGAGTGTGTATCGGGCGCTGGGCTGCACCCTACGTCACCAGGGTTAAGAAAAGAGACACCAACCCTACCTTTCTTGAGTTTAAAATCAGCCAGGATGTGGGAGAAGATAAAAGATATTAAACTAAATGTGACAAAAATACAAATACAGCTTGAAGCTATGACAGTTGCTGTGAAGGGAAAAGAGAGTGCCTTGAGGACGTATGATGGAGGAGGGGGGACTCATTTAGAGCAGGGGTGTGCACAGATTTCTCTGAGGAACTGTCATTTAAGCTGAGTTGCAATACATATGCGTTCCAGCACCCTGCGGTGTAATGAAGTGCCTCGGTGCCGCCGGGCCTGCCTTCAAGTCAACAGAGAAAGGAAGCGAGCTCCCTCTGCACGGGTACGGAGTCCCCTGTCAGTCTGAGTTCCAGTTCGTGTGTCAGGCTCACGTCACACAAGGAAGGTGTAGATAGGATCTCTTCTCTTTAGCTATTCGTTTCCATTTGATTTTTTTCTTAACTGTATAAACTCATCGGTTTATCCATCAGTCATTCATCCAGTCTGTGGGGGTTTCAAAGATATGTAGCCCCCAAATGCAAGGAGCTGCTGTAAGAGAGGCTGATGTGTGCACAGGTTCCTGTAAGCAAAGGCACACTGAGGAGGTAGAGGAAAATGTTACGGAACTTTGAGGAAGCCAGAAAGGCAACACAGATGAGGGGATAAAGGGAGAATTGTTTTAAAGGTGGCACGTTGAAGCATGCCAGCGGATTCTAAGCAAGGTGAATTTGAGGGAATCAAGTCTTACTCAGCATCTGAGTTCTAAAAATCAATGCATAAAGCCAAAAAAAAGTCATGACTAGACAACAGTCAGAGGTACCCTTGAAAATCCCTTCAGCGGGGACTGTGTTGGAAAAATGATGTAATCTCTCTCAAGAAATCCAATCTAGTCAGTGTTTCCTCCGGTCCTGAAACCAATTGCTGCTGCCTCAGTGGAGCATCAGATGAATGTGTGAGCCTGCCTTGAGGTGCCAAGTTGTGTGAAAAATATGAATCCTTCCATGTAGAACTCACACGCAGTACAAGGTCCACAGGCGCGGAGAGCAGGCTGGCATCACCATGCCTCCTGCGCCCTCCTCCATCACCTGCCCCGTGCAAAGTGGGCAGAACTGCTCCCAGTAGCCTCAGTGTTAGTGCCCTCTTGCTCTCTGCCTCTCTGTGTCAATCAATTAACCTATCTCTTTTTATTTTTGCCAGATAGTTAAATTTGCATGCATTAAATATAAATATGATATGCATGTCCAATAATAATATGATTAAAGACCTGAGGTCCGCAAAGAGTTGGGCTTTCAGGAAATAGCCCGGTGACACAATACAGCTGAAATTTGAGATCTGTATTACTTTTCTAGGGCTGCCATAATAAACCACCACAAACTGAATGGTTTAAAAAAAAAAAAGAAATACTGTCTCACAGTTCAGAGGCCAGAAGTCTGAAGTCAAGGTGTCAATAGGACCACACACCCTCTGGAAGCTCTAGGAGAAATGTGTTCCTTCCCTCTCCCAGCTTCTGGTGCCTCCCGTGCTTCTCAGCTAATGGCAGCATAGCTCCAGTCTCCACCTCTATCTTCAAGTAGCTGTCTTCCCTGTGCCTCTGTGCCCCTCTCCTTTTTCTTAAGAAGACACCTGCCATTGGATTTAGGGCTCAGTCTAAATCCAGGACGATGTCATCTGGAGATCCTTAACTTAATATCTTCAAAGACCTCATTTCCAAATATGGTCACATACATAGGTACCTGAGGTTAGAACTTGGACACGTCTTCTGGGGGCTACCATTTAACCCACCACAAGGATCAAGAAAAAGAGAAATAAAAATGAGTTGAAGCTCTATTTTGATGGCTGTAGAGTGCCAATTTCAGATGTTTCCGAGGGTCTAGTTATTTGCAGATTCACGATGCTATTTAAACATCTTGTACTGTAGGGTCTCCTTCTCTACCTCCCTGCCACCATCTGACATCCTGAAGCCCTGTTCCCCATACTTTAGTCGCTCAGCAGGGCCCCTGCAGTGCAATAAGCCTTGACATATTTTAACATCTGCTTTTCCATGTCCTAATCAAAATTCCCATCTCATATCCCATCCTCTACACAAGTGATGGTTAATCAACAAAAATAATCTTTATGAAGGCACTGGCTTGTCAACATTGTTAAAACTTGTACATGTAACCCTTAAAGTGTGATCCTGTTAATACCAGCTCCCCACTGTGGAGGTACAGCTGCTGCCAGAGACACTACCAGAAGCTGATGGGGAGGAGAGAAATGCCCCCAGCTAGCCTCTTCTTGTTGTCCCCAGAGCTCCTACAATTGGCCAAACTCAGCTAGAAGCCAGCTGATACCGGAGTCTGGGAAAAGTAGCCTGAGAGATCAGCTCCCTGTGACACAGAGCAAAGGAAGGAGGCAAAGGCACAGATCTGAGGACAAGTAGGCTCAGGACCAGCACATACTATCATTCCTCATTTTACAGAGTAGGACATGGAGCTCAGAGAAGGTTATTAATCTCCCAGAGTCACATAGCTAGTAAATATTAGTGTGAACCTTGAATCCAGGTCTACCTGAATCTAAAGTCTGAGTCCTTCCTTGCTCTGCTGTGCTCTGCTCTCACCACCATCACAGACAGTTCAGTGGCTTTGTCCAGCCGCCTTGGTCAAGGACATAATTTGGGGTTCCAAGAGGCTGTTTCGTGGCTATCACAGCAGCAAGAGGACCTTCTCTGGGTTTGAGGTTTGGATCTTGTGAAGGACACAGAGATGCCTCACTGAGATCTCCCCTCAAGGAAGAACTCGCCATGCCTACTGCTGCGAGTGCTATGAGCTCATCTTGGCCCGTAACCCCTCAATGTGCACGTACTAGTTGATGATGGGTCACAGCGGAAACAGTGTGGGTAGTGTCTCCTACTTTTCTCTCACACAGTCTGCAAGCTTCCAAACCTGGCCTCACTGCGATTTCCCTGGGTAATTTAGCCTGATAAGCAAGTGAAGATACTATCAGATGATGAGGCATTCGGTCATTCTCTTGATGACCATCCTTTGCTGGTCCCTCCACAGTGGTCACCAGGAAAGTATTTGGTCTCTGGAAACACAACCACCAGCTCTTAAACCTCACATCTATTTCTTATGCAGAGACCAGGACATGTCTCCTGAACCATTACTAGCTTGGTGGCAGGAACTGAAACCCATCCCAGCATTGCTCAGCACTCCTGGGGAGGCTGGGCTCTGCCTC